TGTTGTTGAATTGTATGAGTTGTTTGTGTATTTTGGAACTTAAGCCCTTGTCAGTCACATCATTTGCAAATATTTTCTCCCAGTCCGCAGGTTGTCTTTTTGTTTATGGCTTCCTTTGCTGTGCAAAAGCTTGTAGGTTTGACTAGGTCCCATTTATTTATTTATTTGTTTGTTTGTTTGTTTGCGGTACGCGGGCCTCTCACTGTTGTGGCCTCTCCCGTTGCGGAGCACAGGCTCGGGACGCGCAGGCTCAGTGGCTCACGGGCCCCGCCGCTCCGCGCATGTGGGATCCTCCCGGACCGGGGCACGAACCCGTGTAGCCTGCATCGGCAGGCGGACTCTCAATCACTGCGCCACCAGGGAAGCCCCCATTTATTTATTTATACTGATATGAACTTTGGATTCTTACTTGATTCAGTGCATTATTTATTTTAATGCTCAGATTGTCCAAGATTTAGCCAGTGGAAGCCCCTTTAGCCACAGCCCCTAGCTGCTGTGTCTTTTTGATATACACCCAATATTTCTGAGCACTTCTTTACTTTCTGGTGAAACAAAATGTTCTAAGATCATTTTGTAATTCCCCAGCTGCAGCCCTAGAGACACCCTTTTCTCCAAGGAGTGCTGGTTCATTTTAGTAGAAAATGGTATTTAGTAACCAAGATCTGAGCACTTGGTGTGTTTATCACTACTTGTGTGTCATTCCTTTTAGGCTCCCTCAGCAGACAGAGCTAGGAAATATAGGTGAATGTATACATTGTGTATGTGCATACATTTCCTTATTATTACATTTCCTTCCTTAACTATACACATTAAAACCATGAATTCATATTTATACCCTACTGAGAGATTTTAAAGAGAGGAACGACAGAATCTGATTTATGTTTTAAAAGGATCACTTTGCCCAGTGTGTTCAGAGTAGACTGTAAGGGAACAAGGAACAAGAGTGGAAGCAAGGAAATAATTTAGGGGCTATTGCAATAATCTGGGTGAGAGATGAGGGTGGCATGGACCAAGGTGTAGTATTGAAGTGTAGTAACAAAGAGTCAAATTTTTTACCTATTTTAAATAAGAAATTGTTGACTGATTTGATGTGGACTGTGTGTGTGTGAGAGAAAGGGAGATGAATCAGAGATGATTCTAAGGTTTCTGGTCTGGCTAACTGAAGAAATGGAATTTCCATTTACTGAAATGGAAAGACTACAGGTGAAGCAGTTTTGGGGGAGATGACCAGAAGTTTGGTTGGGACATTTTAAGTTTGTGATTCCTTATTAGATATCCAAGTAGAAACAATACGTGGGCAATAGGATATATGCATCTGTAATGCAGGGAAGAGTTTTGGAGCTAGAAATGAAAATTGGGGATGCGTTAATGTAATGTAGGTTCATATTTTAAACCATGAGCCTGGAGATCATCAAGGGAATGAATACAGATAGAGAAGAGAAGAGGCTAGAAAATTGAGCCTTGGAAACACCTCAACATTTAGAGATCCAGGAGATGACGAACTAGCAAAGGCATCTGTGAATGAATTGTTAACGAAGTGGAAGGAATATAAGAAGAGTGTGGTGTCCTAGAAGGCAAGTGAAGAAAGCGTTTCTAAGCAGGGAGAGTAAGCATCTGTGTCAACTGCTGCTCAGTAGTGATCAATGGATTTAGCAACGTGATGGTCATTTTGTACGTTAACAAAAGCAGTTTTGTTGGGGGCAGGTGCAGGGTTGGGGGCACCTGATTAGAGAGGGTTCAAAGGAAAGTGGAAAGATGGTATTGGAAACAGTGGGCATAAGAGAAGTTGTTTTGCTGTAGAGGGGAACAGAGGAACGTAGTGGTAGCTGGAGGGGAGTTGTGGGGTTAAGATGGCGTTTGTTGTCTTGCATGTTCTAAATTGAGATAAACTTCATTATGTTTGTAGCCTGGTGGGAATAATCCAGTTAGAAAAGGGGGAAATTGATGGTAAAGAAAGAAAACAGAGCAATGTCCTTGAGTGGGCCAGAGGGAACGGGAGATCTAGTTGGTGTGGGGGTTGGCCTTAGTTAGGTGGAAGGGTTCATCTACAGTTAGGAGGAAGGGGAATAGCATGTGGTCACAGACTCAGGTAGGTAGGCAGGTGCGATTGCCGATGTCAGTAGGAAAATTTCTTCGGAATGCCTTTTTTTAAATTGAAGTATAGTTGATTTATAGTGTTATGTTAGCTTCAGGTGTACAGCACACTGATTCAGTGAATACATATACATTTTTTTCAGATTCTCTTCCCTTATAGCTTATTACAAAATATTGAGTATAGTTCCCTGTGCTATACAGTAGGTCCTTGTTGGGTATCTATTTTATGTATAGTAGTGTGTATATGTTAATCCCAAACTCCTAATTTATTCCCCTACTTCTGCTTTGGTAGCCATAAGCTTGTTTTCTATGACTATGGGTCTATTTCTGTTTTGTAAATAAGTTCATTTGTTTTGTTTTGGTTTTGTTTTGTTTTTGGGTTCCACATATAAGCCATATCGTATAATATTTGTCTTTGTCTGGCTTACTTCACTTAATATGGTAATCTCTAGGTCCATCCATGTTGCTGCAAATGGCATGATTTCATTCTTTTTTATGGCTAATATTTCTACTGTGTATATATATATATATATATATATATACCACATCTTCTTTATCCATTCATCTGTCGATGGACATTTAGGTTGCTTCCATGTCTTGGCTATTGTAAATAGTGCTGCTGTGAACATAGGGGTGCATGTATCTTTGCAAATTAAAGTTTTCTCCGGATAAATGCCCAGGAGTGGGATTGCTGGATCATATGGTAGCTCTACTTATAGTATTTTGAGGAACCTCCATACTGATCTCCATAGTGGCTGCACCAATTTACATTCCCACCAACAGTGCAGGAGGGTTCCTTTTTCTTCACACCCTCTCCAGCATTTATTATTTGTCGACTTTTTGATGATGGCCATTCTGACCAGGGTGAGGTGATACTTCATTGTAGTTTTCATTTGCATTTCCCTAAATTAGCGATATGGAGCATTTTTTCATGTGCCTGTTGGCACATGTATGTCTTCTCTGGAGAAATGTCCATTTAGATCTTCTGCCCATTTTTTGCTTTGGTTGTTTGAACTGAACTGTATGAGCTGTTTGTATATTTTGGAAATTAATCCCTTGTTGGTCGCATCATTTGCAGATATTTCTCCCGTTCTGTAGGTTCTTTTTATTCTGTTTATGGTTTCCTTTGTTGTGCAAAAGCTTTTAAGTTTAATTAGGTCCCATTTGTTTATTTTTGTTTTTATTTCCGTTACTCTAGGGGACGGATCCAAAAAGATATTGCTGCAATTTATGTCCAAGAGTGTTCTCCCTGTTTTCCTCTAGAGTCTTATAGTCTCCGGCCTTACATTTAGGTCTTTAATCCATTTTGAGTTTATTTTTGTATATGGTGTTAGAGAATGTTCTAATTTCATTCTTTTACATGTAGCTGTTCAGTTTTCCCAGCAGCACTTATTGAAGAGACTTTTTTCCATTGTATATTCTTGCCTCCTTTGTTGTAGATTAATTGACCATAGGTGAGTGGGTTTATTTCTGGGCTTTTATCCTGTTCCATTGATCTATATGTCTGTTTTTGTGCCAGTACCATAGTGTTTTGATTACCGAATGCCTTTTGAACACAGTGAAACAGGAAGTAAAGCTGAAGGAGGATGAAGGGATTCGTGGTTTGATGTGAAAAGGAATGAAAGAGTCGTATAGGAGAGATGGAGGGGAAATGGATGGGGAAATGTGATATGATTGCTAATAGCACTGAGAAAACACCTGAGTTTGGAGTTATGAATTCAAATTGGCAGTTAAAACGGCTTTTTGCTTGATATAACCTTTGGAGGAGGAGTAGAAGCAGGAATCTGAGGCCCGCAAGAGGGCGCTCGTGGACAGGTCCTGGGTGGCTGAGTCCCTGAGAGTCTTGGAATAAAATTGGAATCTGCTCCAGGGAAAGACAGCACTGGAAAAACAAGTTGCTTTCTTCACCGGAGGCGGCAGTAGTATTCATTCCCAAAACTACTGACGCTGTGAGCAGGATTCGAACCTGCGCGGGGAGACCCCATTGGATTTCGAGTCCAACGCCTTAACCACTCGGCCATCACAGCCGCCTGTGGACTGGGGCCTGCGGAACTATAGCTGCCTATCAACACGCCCGCCTCTTGCGAGCGCTGTCTTGATGTCAGTGCGCGTGCGCTTGTGAGGCAACGGCCCTACAGAAGCGGCGACTTTCCAGTTCTCTCTCCCTGCCCCGAGCCACAGTACAAAATGGGCCCAACCGTTCCCACACCGTTGAAGGCAGACAAAGGGATGCCGCTACACCCTGGTTCTTGACAGCTAGGGTCAGCCTCCAAATTCGCACTAAAAGTGCACAGGGAGGGAGACTCAAGTAGCAATGGGATGGCTGGTAAGAAGAATAATCCTTCCATATGTACTACAGAGAGGCGCCCTGTCAAAGTCTGGAAATGTGGCCCCTTCGCAGCAATAATATACTAGAGTCAACCGTCCCAGGCACCGCTGGGATTCGAACCCAGGATCTCCTGTTTACTAGACAGGCGCTTTAACCAGCTAAGCCACGGCGCCGTTGGGTGGGTTGTTGAGTCTAGATGTAGATCAGCTGTTCCTGAGGGTCACTAATCGAGACGACCGAAATAACGGCTGCCACGGGGCTTCAGTGACTCATCCTTTCCAAGGTTCCCCCTTTCCTTCCCAAGCTCTGAGCCTGAGGGTTAATACTCTGCACCACCCGCCTCTCTCCCACACCGTTGGGGACCAACTCGACTATGAATGGCTGCGTGGCCCCCCGTCCCTTAGCCACCTAGACTGACCTGCTTTCTCAGTGAGAAAGGGTTTGTGGAGAAGAGGGATGCGGGTCCTCAGAGGAGGGAATGGCTCACTCTCACTACAACCTTCCGGAAACGGGGGCGCCACACCTCCCCACAAAGAGCTCCCCTAACCCAGCCCCCAAAGTTCATTCCACAAAGTCCTGGTATTTTTTCTTTTTATATTAAAAAATAACAGACACGATATCAAAAACACAAATGTCAGCGGTAGAGGGTACAGCTGAGAACACCTGGGTCCCACCTGAGGGGCAGCACCAGGGACTCCACGGTCCACCAACCTCCCCCACCCCGGAGCAGCTAGGGGTCTGGACCACTGGGTCCTGCTTGGGCCTCAGAGGGCTGGCTCTCCAAATAAATAAACGCAGCCCCAAGCCGCAGGGACAGGGACTCCGGCTCAGCTGGGGCTTGGAGAACCACTTCAGCAGCTTGTCAGCAACCTTGTCCAGGGGAAGGAACGACTCCTCAGCAGGGATGGGAGGTGCGGCTTCTCTGGGCTGGGCTAAAGAGTGCCACCCTCTGTTCTCTAAGAGGCCAGAGGCAGCCCCTGGATCCTGGGCTGCTGGCGGGGGGAGGTCCCACACCCCCTACAGCGGGAGAAGCCGGGACAGTTTTCTATTGGTTGGTCCAGCCACGTCTGAGTTCTGCGAGTTGGGACATGGGAGAAGGAAGCTTCTCATGCATTCCCGGAGGTGGCCCCAAATGTAGTCTAGCTGGTGCCATTTCCTGCGGCAGGTAAGGCTGGACTGGATGAGCTCCCACCTTGTTCCTCCTCCTCCATGGCCAGGTCCTGAGAGCTTGAGACCGCGGCCCCAGCTTGGGCCTGGGCCTCATCACCGCCCTCGCCCTCACCACCACCGCCACCCGCCTCGCCCCCACCCTCCTCCATGGGCTCCAGCCCCAGTCCATCCATTTCCGAGAAGAGTGGGTCATCAGGGTGGCCAGGGTCTTGGGTGCTGCTACCGCAATCCACACAGGCCTTGGAGAAAGAAAGGATATGAGCGAGTCAGCAGAGTTCCACTGCTGACCTGCCACCCCAGTTCCCCTTGTTCCCCAACTCGAGAGTACTTCCCACAATGTATGCCCAAGAAACATTAATCCATACAGATGCGCATGGGGTCAACAAGATTGGAAAATGCATCGTACCCTGTACCCAGACCGCACTATACACTAGCATAAGATTGGCCGAGAAAAGGTCTACCAAAACACACGTGGTTTAACACTAAATAACCCAGCAGCAAATTTAGTGGAATTAACGTCCTTCAGAATTAATGATCCAAGGAACAATGAGGGGATCAGCCCTTAGCCTCTACCCTTTCAACTTGAGCTCAATTCTTTCTTCTCCCTCCTGGCCCAGACTTGACTTCTCACCATCACATCAAGGGCCCGAGGCAGTTGACCCTTCCGGACCCAGGAGTGCACAGCACCCAGTTCCCTCCGCTGGTCCTCTGAGAACCGAGGCTGCTGCTTCTGCATAGCCCGGAGCCGCTCCCGGTCCTGCTTCAGCACAGAGGCCATGTCCCTGCTCCGGGAAGGGGTTCAGGAGGCAGAGAATGGGAGCTGGGGCCAGGGCCCACGAGGCTGGCATTTTTCCTTTACCTCAACTCCCCAGCTCCCCACTCACTGCCTCATGCTCCTCCCCTGAACCGGTGCTCTGGGAATTCAGGCCTTCCAGGACCAGGAAAGCTGCCCTCAGCCTGACTAATGGTGGGGCTCCAAGGGGCGGAGGGCAGAACAGGAAAGCCCCAGAGCAGAGCCAGGCCCAGAAAGAAAACCCCAAGTTAGCTGCAGTGAGGGTGGGCCGCCAGCCTCCCCACTCCTCTGAAGAAGAGGCAGAGGAGGTCCCTGAAAGTCCTCACCTGGAGGGCACCTGATAGGTCATCATGACATGCTGGTCAGCATTGGCCATGAGCAGCCAGATGGGATCCTGGAGCACGTACTTAATGACCTGGTCCCCGGGCTCAGCCCTGGCACGGGCAGCCCCAGCCTCAGCCTCGGAAGAATCGACGCTGCCGAAGTACTTGCTCGTGTGGCTGCTCTGACTGCTGCCTGTAGAGTGAGGGGCGGGCAACCAACAGAGTCAGGCCGCCCGGCGCTCCACCAGGCCTCGCTCAAGCCCACTGGCCTTAGGAAGCAGGGCAGGGGCCCAGGCTGCTTGGCCAAAGTGGGGCCTGGCCTCCCAACCCCCCAGACACTGTCCTACCCCGGGAGGTGTTGTGGGAGGCAGGGCACTCACGCGTGATGCTGGCTGAGGTGCTGCTCCCCTCATGGGAGCCTGAGCCAGACCCAGAGCCCAAGCCAGAGCCCAAGGAGCCCGAGGCAGCAGAGCCCGTGCCAGAGCGCGAGTCCTCCTGCAGCAGCAACTCCAGCAGGTCGCTGGAGCCGGAGAGCGCGTCCTGGTTGGAGGACTCAGTTATCTCCACCTGGGGGAGGGGAGGGGAGGGATTAAGGGATCAGCACCTAGGCTTCCCTTCAACGGCTGCCTCTGGCCGGGAGCGCACCCAAGCCAAGCGGCCTCTTCCCACTCCATGACAGTGGGCCCAGGCTGAGTGACGAGAGCTGGCGCAGAGCAGCGCCGTGGCGCTGGGCCCTTTCCAAGCAGCAGAGGCACGCTCAGAAGTTACTGGGATGTCCTCGCCACCTGTCAGACAGACGGGCCTGTCCCCACTTCACAGATGAGGCAGCTGATTTCTGCCTCATTCAGAAACGCAGCTGGGGCCTCCCACCCCACGACACCACCCTCTGGGGACGCCAGGTGGGCGGGGGGCAGGAGGAAGAGCGACGGGAGGAGCAGGGGAGAGGGCCGCGTGGGGGCCCTAAGAGGATGGGGGCGGGCCTCGGTGCTCACCGGTCTGGCCGCTGGGTCGGCAGTCTCCTCGCTGGGAGGGGGGTGCCCAGCACTACTCTCCTCGACACGGGGGGGGCTCCTCAAGCTGCAGCAGGTTTAGCTGGAGCGGGGAGCTGCATCTCGAGTTGAAGAGCAGAGAGTCGGGGCGGCGGGGAGGGCTGGGGGGCAGCAGGGGCAGGGACGGAGAAGGGGAGTGGGAAGCGGGGGCCTGGGGTGCCCCACAGGGGTAGGTGGGTGGGGCAGGGAAGAGATAGTTAGGGAGCACCAAGGCCACCACTGGGGTCACCAGTGGGGCAGGGAAAGCTGCAGGAGACACAGATGTGGGTGCAGGAGGGAGAGGCTGGGGGCCTCCTCTGGGGGAGAACGCGGGGAGGGGGCAGGGCTGGACCACAGCCGGGAAGGGCGGCGTGGCTGGTGGTGGGGGCCAGGGGGCAGAGGATGGCACAGGTGACGGGTGGGAGACGGGGCAGGGGGCTTCGGCCTGAGGGGTCGGGTGCTGGCGGGAGCGCTTGGCTTTGGATCGGCAGTGGTGGCGGCGGCCAGGGGCTGCGGGGCCGTGGCGGCAGCCTGAGGGGAGAGACTAGGGTAAGCAAGGCCCTCGACCTGGGGGTTAGCAGCCCTGCCACCCCGGCCGGCTGCCCTGCCACTCGGACCAGGGAGAGGATAGGCCCCAGAGAGTCTGCCTCCCTGGCCCACACGTAACAGAGGGGACTCTGGGGAGGTGGGGGGACCTTCAGGGAAGACGCGGGAATCACTGACAAAGCGGCCGGGGAAGGAGAGGTTACACGAGGCGGGGTGCTGCAGGTGTGCAGAAGACCGAGGCCTGCTGGCGGACAGCAGGCAGGCGAGGTCGTGGACGAATGGGCAGGTGGCTCCGGTCCAGCAGGCAACTACCAGCCTGGGCGACCCTCCTGCCAGCGGGGCCGTGCTCCGCATGGCTCATGATGGAGCCAAGGTGGGCGGGAAAGCCCAGTTCCTAGCCCTATGCCCGCCTGCAGGGGGCCTCCCTCAGGCACCTGGAGGGCTGCCACCTGCCCTTGAAGCCCTGCCCCCACCCGAAGTCGTCCCAGTCCTCCCTGCCGGTCTACACAGATCTCCCAGTCAGCAGCAACTGAGTCCTGAGTGGGCTCGCTTCCTGCCCCAGCCCCCAGACTGGGCCTGGAGTGGCTTACCTGGAGCAGAGCGCCCCTGCCTGCCTGTCTCAGTGCTGCCCTCCTCTGGCGGCAGCCTGGACCCCCGCCCGCTGGGGAGGAGCTAGCGAGGGGCCATCCCTAGGCAGGGCCCTGGTGGCGGAGGTGGCAATAGCCTGGGTCCCTGGAGCACAAGGATCTCCCTCAAGAACCCCTCCCCCGACAGTCTGGCCCTAGACCGGGTGCAGGCAGGTGGCTACCCAACTCACCGGGGCCCGAGGGGGCCGTGGAGGAGCCGTCAAGTCCACGCAGCCTGCCATGGTCGCGGAAACGGCTGAGGAAGGCCTGCTCCTCCTTCTGGGTGTGCAGGGACAGCACAGCCTTGGTCAGGCCCACTGGCCGGTAGGCACCTGCGGCTGGGTCAGGGGCCACCGTGGGGCTGGGGGCTGGGCTGGGAGCTGGGCCAAGAGGCAAGCCAGGCAGGTCCTCCATCATGATGATGTCTGAGGAAGATGAGACAGGGGAAAGGTCAGAATCACCTTAAGTGTTAGCACACCCACACCACACGGCACCCTCCATGTCCAGCAGCTTAGCCAAAGACCTGGGCTCTGCCCTGCGGCCGAGCCTGGGCCTCCCCTGCATCTCTTGGCCACCTCCCCACCGAGAACTGGCTCTGGGCCTTCTTCCCCGTGTAAAGCCGTCCCAGGGTAAGAAAAGGATACTCAGTCCTCGTCAGTGGCACTACCCTAGGATGACCCCCCCGTGACTCCTTGGAAGGGAAGCCCACACCTCGCACTTCCCTCACTCGTTTTCCAGGTCAATGCCCGAAGACCCTTCAGGGCTTTTCAACAGTCCCTGCCTCGACCGTCTGCGGGCAGCACCTCAGGCTGAACTACACCCCAGACTTTGTGTGTGAACTGACGGTGAGAACACAGGAAGCAGGATGAGGGACAGACAAGGCGGCAGAGGCTGGCGGGCGGGTGGAGAGCAAGAAGCGGCAGCCCTGAGCTAAGCGGGGGCCTCCTTCTCTCCATCAGGAACCAGAGGGCGGGAGAAGGCAGCCGGCAGGAGGGGGGACGCTGGCTGGGGGAGCAGAGGGAGCCCGGGCACCGCCCCCCTCAGCCATGCCCGTACCCGATTCCGGGGGCTTCTTGTCTCCCACGTGGACGATGGTGGAGCTGAAGCTACACTGACTGGTGACGGACACCACGCTCTCCGCCTTATTGGCCAGGGCGAGCGGGCTCAGGGCGCCTCTTCCCACCACCGGCTCCTTCAGAGGGGCGGCCCCCTCCCCAGACAGCACTGCCGATGGATCTGTACGGAGAGATGCCGGTTATCGCCCCGCTGGGAGGCTGGGAGAGGAAACCCCAGTGGGGGTGGGGAGAGAGAGGAGCGTGGAGATCTGGAGGCTGGGCGGGGACGGGACAGAGTGAGGTGGGGCCCCAAAGACAGAAATGCAGACGCAGGAACAGAGGACGGGGTTGTGGAGGCAGGATGGCCTGGCTCTTCACCTTTCTCGGCCCCCACAGAGACCGCTCCCGCCCGCTGCCTGTCCTCGTCGGAGGCCGAAGAGGCGGTGCAGGACGAGGAGGAGGTGCACTTGCGCTTGGTCGTGCTGGGGAGGTTGCAGCTCTCCAGGTACCTGAGGAAGCACCAGAAGACATGAGAGCAGCGCCTGGGTGGGGCAGGGCCGGGGCCCAAGCGGGAGAATGGGCCAGGATGGCCTTACCTGAGGATGCTGTCCAGGCAGTTGATCTGCTGGTAGGAGCAACCTGAGGCTTCTTTCCGCTCAGCCTCCTCAGGAGCCGAGGCTAGTGGGGCCTGGGTCAGAGCAGGTGCCACCTCCAGCTCTGGGTCTGCAGATTGGCAGGGAAGGGTCTTGGCCTTGAATGTGCCTGCAGCTGGGCCGAGGAGAGAAAAGCTCCTCTGGGTTGGGCTGAGGGTCATTTGACCCGCCCCGCCCCAGGCCTCACTCCTCACCCACACCCTCACCAACTCACCAGGGACACGGGGCCGGGGCAGAGGCCGGGCCCGGGACTCAATAAAAAGCTGCTGCCCCTGATGCTTCACCAGGTGCACGTCCTTACAGATCTGCTGGAAGGTCACCTGTGGGGCAGGGCAGTGGGCAGCATTGGGGGGGCGTGGCCAGCCTGGGGAGCCCAGAGCGTAGCGCAAGAAAAAGGCCCCAGGGCTTCCCTGGTGGCGCCGTGGTTGAGAGTCCGCCTGCCGACGCAGGGGACGTGGGTTCGTGCCCCGGTCCAGGAAGATCCCACATGCTGCGGAGCGGCTGGGCCTGTGTGTGAGCCATGGCCGCTGCGTCCGGAGAGGCCACAACAGTGAGAGACCCACGTACCGCAAAAAAAAAAAAAGAAAAAGGCCCCAGTGGGGAGGAGCAGAGATCACTATGAGAGCAGGACGAGAAAGAAAAGGAGGTGGACGCGGCTCCTCTGGGTTTGGCAGTGCTGACTCTGAGAACAAGGGAACGGGAGACTAAAGGGGTAAAGTGGCAGAGAGGCACTCACCGGTGCAGGAGGCCCAGGTCCCTCGGCGTCACCCCCGTTGCTGGCACTGGAGGAGCCAGGGCTGAGGAGAGGGCCTGGGGAAGTCACCTGGCCGACTCCACAGAACCCGGTAGGGCTGGGGCTGTGCACAGGCTGAGGCAGGAAGAGCGACAGGTCAGATGTCCAAGGCCTTGTTCCGCACCCCTTCCTCATTCTCAAGCCCCGTCCCCTCAACTCTCACCTGTAACAGCAGCCGGTGGATCTGCTCAGAGAGCTCCTGGATATCAGGGTCCAGGGAGAGAGCGGGACTGGGGACTGGGGGAGTGAACACGTCTTCATTCAGGGGCGCCCTGCGGGGTGGGAAGGATGAGCTGAGCCCTGCCCCCTCCACACTGGCCCGCCCTCCAGGGCACCACCCACTTACGTGCGTACTTTGTGGCGGCCCAACACAAAGGCCACCTTGCGGCTCCAGGGGTGCACGAAGCCAGCCCAGCTGGTGTCCATGGTGACGTACTCCCCATTCCGGGCGCAGAAGCGGATAGGGGAGTGGTCAAAGGGCTGGCCAGCCAGCTGCAGGACTGAAGGGAGTGGGAAATGAGGTGCGGGTCAGTGGGAGGGAGAGCTAAGTAAGGTTGTGGAGCCCCCTGGAGCCTCCCCCCACCCGAAATCCAAGAGGCCAAGGCGCTGAAAGACACAATCACAAGGACAGCTGTTAGGAAGCCCTGGAGACAGCCGGAAGGGAGCGCAGGATGAAAGGAACTCACTCTTTTTGTGGATGGCCAGCATGAGGGGTCGGTCCTCGGGATGCAGGAAAAGGAGCACTGGGGCCCCCAGGAGGTCCTGGGGGAGGTAGCCCAGCAACGGGGCGGCCCTGAAATGACAAGAGGCATCAGAATGGCCAAAGCCTCGGCCCTGGACACCTCCTTTTTCTCCAGGTCCTGACCTCACCTTTCATCCACATCCTGGAAGAGGCAGCTGGGCGTGTGCCTCGTAGTGAAGATCCTCTTGTCGGGGGGAATCCGGGGAGCTGAGGCACAGAAAGTGTGGCCATTGGATTTCCTCCAGAACGGTCCAGCTCCTCAGCCCTCCATGCTGCCTCAGGCCCAGGCTGGCTGGCAGACAGTTCTCTCCACAGCTCTGCCTTGGGCCCTCTAGCCTACAAAGATGGTCTGGACAATCTTTGTGCCCCATGCTGATAATGAAACTGAAAACCAAGGTACTCTCCTTTGCCTTCTCCTAGCTTAGGGCTCTCATCCAACTCTACCTCTAAAGAGGCGTTCAAACCCTCATTTTAACAATACCTTCTGTGTTCCAAAGCTGTCTCCCACACTCCCGTCCTGCCTCACCCCCAGCCTAGAGAAGGCCCCCTTCCTCCTACCCCAACCAGGCCAGGCGCCTGGCCCGCCCACCTTCATAACCAGAGTGAATGCGCTCTGCGATCAGCAGGCAGCACGGCTGTGCAGGGGCCCCATCAGAGACCCGGATCTTGGTCACATATGGGGTTAGGCGGAATGGCTGGTACCGAGGCCCGGGATCTCGGTCAGGACCCCCTCTAGCAAGGAAGAGAAAGAGGCATTAGGGACTGTCAGTGAAGAGCCACCCACCACCCACCTCAAGGTCATGGGCCACACAGCAAAGAAAAACGGGGTGTGGGAGGTGCAAGGGGTCTGCTCCCACATCCCCTGCCTACCTGATACGGCAGAAGACAGACTTCTCCTGGGTGAAGTCCTTGAGGCCTGAACCTGAGACAGACCAGGAGGACAGTAAGCACAGCTCCCCATCCCCTCCCTGGGCTGAGAAGAACCCAGCAAGGAAAAGCCTGGGGCCCCTGGCCCCTCATGGCAGGTGCTTCCTGGAACTGCTCATCCCTCCCCCCAAGCACTTCGGGACCTCACCTGCGGAGGCCCCCGTGCCCCAGGTGGGCAGGCGAGATGGGGCAGTGGAACCATAGAAGACACCCACATCCTGGGGAGCTAGGAGCTCTGAGAAGCGGGCACCGCGGAACACATCCTGCTTGCAGCGCAGCAGGATACCTGCCTGCTCAGAAATGTAGACGATGCGGCCTGTCAGGAAGGAGACAGCCACGGAGAAAGTATCCTAGGCGAGAAAGCAAAGACAAGAGCAGGTTCAGGAGCTGTGGGAGTGGGGCTGGGGGTGCGTCGGGATACAGAGGCTGGGCTGCGCTGACCTGGTTGCGAAGCGTGTACTCAGATGTGATGTGCTCCAGTTCCTCCAGAGTGTAGGTGGACATGTCCATGGCACAAGGCTCGCCCTCCTCCAGGCTCCACTGCTGGTAGTATTCCTGGTTGGCTGCAGGGTGCGGGCAGCAGCACACTTAGTGAGGAGACTGCCCCCATGGTACTAGCCCAGGACCTGAACATTGCCCTCCCAGGAAGCACCACTCACCTTGCACCTGCTTGACACAGGCCAGTGCGTACTGCAGCGTGGCCAGGGTCCCAGAGCGGCCCTTGCCCCTGCGCTCTGGTGGCAGCCGAAGCTTGAGCTCCCGCAGCGCCGTCATGAGTTCTTTCTGGGTCCTTGCCCGAGCTGACTGTTCACTGCTGCAGGGCCCACAGGGAGGGAGCGGGTATAGACATTAGCCCCAGAGCGTGGCCCCCAGCCCTCTCCCCCAGCCCTCACCCCACGAACCTGCAGCCACTGGTAGACGGGTTGTCCTGCTCTGAGCTGGCACTCAGGAGGCTGTAGGCAATGGAACTGCTGGGTGGGGATGGGCTCTGAGAATTTGTGCTAGGGGAGAAGCAACAGACCCAAGATGAGGAGAAAGTGGGCAGCAGCACGGGCCTGTCTCCCAGCTCAGTCTGCTCAAAAGACCACTCCTAGCACCTGCAACCCATCCAAACACACCTCTTGCTGCTTTCAGTGGTGTCCAGCAGGGCCGAGTCCTTGCCATTGCCGGAGGAGGAGCTATGTGAGCTCCGCTGAGATGCACCCCTGGACTCCGGTCCATTGGACTCATTGCCGCTGGAGCCATTGCTGTTGGCATCCGTGTCGTCAGCCAGGCTGGCGCCAGGACAAGGTCGATGCTGTGGAGGCCCAGGGGATGGAGCCCCTCCAGGACAAAAGGATTCCCCCGGCCTGGGGTCCCCTCCCCCATCAGCCCCTTCGAGGGGGCCGCTCATGTCTGGGCCATGGGGAGCCTAGGAGAACAGGGAAGGCGGAGAGGCCACCAGAGAGGCACGAGGGGGCCGGGAGGCCTGGCCAGGGGAGCGAGGTGGGAGACTCAAGCCTCAGAGAGCTGAGAAGTTTGATCACAGCCAGCGCCTGAAAAGAGAGACCAAGAAGGAGAAAAACCTGGGCTGTAAATTCACAACACCTGCCAATTTCATTCAGCCCCCTCCCTTTCAGGTCCCCACGCTCCTGCGACCCAGGCTTCCAATATGGAGCCTAAGCAATTTCTGTTTCCTGTCCGCGTACGGGGCGGGGGAGCGTCGGGGGGCTGCAGGTGGAAAGGGGCCTCTCTTGGTCCTTCCCCCACATCCCCTGCCAGCGTGGCCTGAGGAGGTAATACCTAAGCGGTCGACTAGAAAGAACTTCAGCTGTGAGCCACAGCCTGGATACTTCCCATTCCCAAATTCCCAGCAGGCCCCCACTCCGCCTGGAACTCCAAGGCCTCGGAGCAGGGTGCGAGCCTGCCGCCTTCTATATTTAGGCCTCCGGGCTAATTTTATCCGGGGGCGGTGCCACCTCCGCCGCACATGCGCGCGGACTTGCGCGGCCCCACCACGCGCTTCCGCCGCCACTGCGGTCGCCAGGGAAACCGACGTCAGCGGCTGAGCTCAGCGGTTGCTGGAGGGCCCGCAAGAGGGCGGGGGAGGGGGCGACCCCTCCCCCATTTCTCGGCGGAAACGGGGCAACGACACACTCCCGCACTCGCAAGCGCGACCAGGGGTCGCCCACCTCTAATAGATCCCCAGTCCCCGGAGGGCCGAGTGGCCGTAGGAAGAGGGGCAGCCATCGGGGTTTCAGAGGCTGGCCTTGCTCCCCAGGGCAAAACACAACCACCACCGCCCTCCGCGCAAAAGCCCCCAGACTGGCGCTCTCCAGGATCCCAATCATTCTGGTTAAGACAACACAGCCTTTCCTCCTCTTGCCCCTGCACCTTCTCCCGACCCCCAGGACCGAGGCCTGCCACTGTCAGGAACCCAGGAATCCTCTCTTCGGTCCCCTACTTTTCTATACACTCGCCGCCACCGCCCCCCCCCCCCCCCACAGCCATCCGAAGCAGACACACTCTGCTCTGACCAAGGGACGGACAAAGGCCAGAGACGGCTGTTCCCTTACTCTCTCCCTCCAACCACACCCCCAACCTCAGAGCATTTTCTGAGCTTCAGGAGAAAAGGGAAGGCTGTGGCCAACAGCAGGAACTAGCACCGGGAACGAGATGTTCCAGTTTGAACCGGGCTGACATCACAGCCGGCGCGAGGCCAGGGACTGGAGGAGGGAGCGCGGGAAGCGTGGAAAGCCCGAAGGGGTCCTGGTGCTGGGGCAAAACCGGAGACCCCCGAGTGACAAAGGCAGCAGGGGGCATGCCTGATGAGGGTCAGGTGTGGGGCCGGGGCAGCTGGGAGCTGGGGGCAAAGCTGGAGGTAAGGTAGGCAGGTCAGGAGTGCGGACGCCCAGTGCAGGATTGTGAGGAATACCTAGGTCCCCGGGGACAGGGAGCGGGTGGACAACGGCAAGGAAGGCGGATTATTGGTGTGCCGTCTGAGTGCCCAGGCCGAAAGCGGCCCATCAGGCTGGAAGTGGCGGCAGTCAGCCTCCGGGCCGAAGACCGGCCCCTGGGGTGGCCGCGGAGATGCTTACCTGGCCGCGCGAGCGCCCTCCGGTCGCCTGCCCGCCGCCGTTGCAGCCCGCAGCTGAGTGCAAGCTCCGCGGGGCCAGGAGGCGGGTTGCATAACGCCAGGCGCTGCCCCTCATTGGCCTCCTGCCGGCGGAGCCACAGGCCCCGCCCCCAATTGGCTGGGGATCTCGTCCCGGCGCCTGATTGGCTACTGGCCCCCACTGAGGTCAGGGCTGTGTCACACACACGGGCGCACGTGGATCTGGGTGCTGGCGCTGGGCTGAAGGGCCCCAGACACCACAGCCCAGCCAATGGGCGCGGGACGCCTTGTACAGTAAATAATGGAAGGGAGGGGAGGGGAAGGGAGGGGAGGTAAGCTGTCCCTCTTCAGAGAACATACCAGGGCCACAGTAGGTATTTAAGATAACTCTACTTCCTGAACCGACCAGCCTTGCACAACAGGACACCCTGGCCTTGCCAGGGGTGGGCAGAAAGAATGCAGACCTTAGGAGGTGGGCCAAGCTGGATGAGACAGCTGGTCCCTGGGAGGAGATGGACAGAAAACCCAGCTTGGCCTTTCCTAGGTTCCCCTCCCCAGCCTTGTCATCACAATAGAGCCCTTTTACCCAATCCCTTCCTCTGACACTTCAAATCCTGTGGACAGCTAGGAGGAGGGTAATCGAGGGTCCACATCTGAGGAGGGGGTGGAGTGGGGGGAAGGATGCAAACAATAGAAGGGGCAGCCAGAGCCAACAGGAGCTGTGAAGGGAAACAATGGCAGGTGTTTCCATGGCCAATCAGAGAAAAGGTCACCGGGCAACCTACGTGGTGACTAGTGCTTCTCTCCTGAGGATGCAGCCACCCACAGTTACGGCTGCACCAAAAGTAGGGGCCAGGCAGCCAGGGCTGCAGGGGAACAAAGCGGTGGCTGAGAGAAGAGACCTTAGACAAAGGTGGGGTGGCAAGGGCTTCAGGTCCCCACCGCAAGGAGAAGAGAAAGCCAAGGACCTCATCACCTGTCTCCTTAACTGTATTCCGCAGCCCCCAGGAGAGAACCTGACACGCAGTAGGTGATCATAAACATGGTGACTTTGTAACTAGAGCTAGGGGAGGGGGAGGGGCCTCAGTAATAGAGAAGGAGCTGGAAATTATAATTTTTTTTTTAAGAGGCAAGAAGCAGAACACTGAGTCCTAAATTTGGGGGAATAAAGTGCCAGCTTGGGCCGCGAAGAGCTTCAGTTACACAGACCCCCTCCATCCAAGACTGATGTGTAGTTCCTCTCAGGGCTCCCTGGAAACGTGGGTGGCAAGTGAAGAGGCTGATGCTGACGTAATCAGCGTGGGTGCACACGCCTGTTACGTGGCCTAAGCTTTCCTTAACAATTGTGTTCCCCATGGGGGGTTGGGGGGGTGGGCAGGGTCAGGGCTCTGTGGAAAAGCTTACAGAATAACCCAGAAAAACCAAAGCAAGAAAACACAGGAAATAAAGGATTGAGGAGCCTGGATTCTCAGTCTTCTCTCCTTGAAAATGCCCCCCCAACTCATATATTGTGGCCCAGTCCCTTGTCTCCTTTTCAGACACCTCTTCTCTGGAAACATCCTTTTTCTTCTTCCTCAGCACTCCTTAGGGCTCTAGATGTGATCTCCCCCGGCACAGGCGATCCTTGCTCTCCACCTCCACCTCCATATTTTCCTTTTGCGTAGACAAAAGGGTCCAGCGCTCCAGCAGCTCTCAAGGCCCTAATCAGGATCCTGCCTCACGGTCCCCACAGTAACCAGACCCTGCTGCCGTCAATGGAGGAGAGGGGGCGGGAGGCGGCGGTGACGTCAAGCGGAGGAAGGGGGCGGGGCGAGGCAGCCGGGGAATGTGGGGCAGGGAGGCTGGAGAGGCAGCGGTTTGGGAGGCGGCCAGCCCGAGAGGGCGGCGGCCAGAGAACTTGGGAACATCATGTTCTTTTGGCTGGTAGCCCAGGACATGCACCCAGCCTGGACGCCTCCCCCCAACCCAACGATAGCCATCCTGTCCCAAAGCCAGGGATTCCTGGAGAGAGGATTAGGAGGAAGGGGTCCCCCCTCCCCCGCCCCCACGCCTGGCTCTCTTCTCCAGACTCGCATCCGCCCTCCCCTTGGCTTGCTCCTACAGCTCCTGGCATTGGCTTTCCCCCTCTTCCAGACTGTACACATCTGCTGGCCCGATCCCAAAGCCAGGGCGGGTAAGTTGGAGGCCAGGTTCTGCAAGAGACCTTTGCTCCTTCCCTGAGGCCCCCTTCAGAGCCTGAATCTCTTGTTACTATGGTAGCAGAGACAGGGAGGAGGGATAGGGAGGAGAATGGGTCTAGGATGAGGAGCTCGAACTGGGAAAGAGCAAGTGGCCCAGCCTGGGGCCTTGGATCTTGGGAGAGGGATAAAAGGGAGGAATGAAGGTTTGGGGCTGGTGCCTCAAGACAAGAACCAGGAAGAGGGAAATGGGGCGGGGGTCACCAAAATTTGCAAAAAAAAAAGAATATGAGAATAGTTCCCAACCACAGCATTCACATAAATCTTACACCCTGTCACTGTTCTTTTGTCACCCTATAGCAATTTTCTTTTACCTAAAAAAATAAATAAATAAAAACATGACCCAGGCATTGCGCTGAGCACTTTACATACATTATCTTATTTAATCTTCAGAACAATCCTGTGAGATGGGTATAATTATCCCCATTCCACAAGGACCAACTAAGGCTCAGAAGTTACCAAACTTGCCTAAAATGTCTCATAATCAGTTCTCAGGCTCTTAACAAATGGGACTCAGGATTCAAATCTGAGCTCTGATAATGGCTTGTCATTCTGATTTCTTACCCTTCAGGAACCTTTGAGGTGTTACCAGCTCTGGGAACCTGGGCCTCTCAAACACTCAGCCAATTCTAAGTTTGGTGCCTAAAACACAGACTCCATCCAACCTCTCCTCTACCCTGGGACATTCAGTTTGCACTCTCCACACACTTCAAATCATCACAGTCCCAGTTTTCACATGCTCACAAAGTCCTTGAGATCACCCTAGCAGCCACCAGCCCCAGTGACTTCCTAGGAACCCCACTTCCTCACTCTTCCACCTTACCGCAGGTCACTTTACCACAGGCCTCGTTGCTTGTACAGACAGATACCAGAGCACTCTGTTGGTGCCTCCTCACCGCCAGGGGCTCAGGAAGACAAGTATACAACCAATCTGCACAAGCCCATCCTCCCTCTCAGGATCCGACAGTTGCTACCCCACGTTTACTCCCAAAGATGGCTCCGAGTCCCAACCCCTCCCCTTTACACATGAGAAAGACATCCAGAGCCCTGATGTGACTAGCTCAGGGTCACACAAATCATCACCCCACCCTTTTTCAAATCACCGTATCCCCTTTGGTACCCTCTCAACTGCCCTAGCAGGACCTCTCTCCAGCCTCAGAACCCCTGCCTATTTCAAGTGCTTAAGGCACCTACCAAAACAGCAGTCACGCACTGGAACGTCTCCCACCGGCTCTCAGGGGTCCTGTCCCGTACCTCCCTGGGAGTAGGGTTCTCAGCTCCCTCAGTTCGCTGGCTTCTGAGCCCCTCCCCGCGGCAGTCAGGGGTACAGGGACCCTAGGGCGTTGAGGGATTTGATGTCAAGGATTCCCGCTCCCCTCTCTCTAGAGCTGAGTTCGCAGCCCCTATTCCCCCGTAACCATCAGAGCTCCCACCGCGGTGATCACGCATTTGCAAGATCCCCCTCACGGCAATGCATTAACACCCCTCCTTACAGAACCACCGTGGAAAAACCCATACCGACCGCCGCTCCTCACCCTCCACGCCTGAGCACTTACCGCTCAGCGCGCACGCCGTCCAATTTCTTCCTAACTAGGATCAAGGAGACTTGGATTCGCTTCTCCAGGCCCGCCCGCCGACCAGGATGCCACGCCCCTCAAGCTTATTGGCGGAAGGGCGCCGACCCATGCCCCGCGCCGCGTGCGGCCGCGCAGCCCCCGCACTGCCACCATTGGCGCCGCCCGCCTCCCTCATCTTCTCATTGGTCAGTTTGCCAACCAGCAGTGACAGATCCACGTGCGGGAGGGGCCACCCTAGCACGTTGATTGGAAGCTGACCGAAAGCCACGCCCACATCCACCTCCGAAGTTCTTACTGGCTGTGGCAGCGTCCCCCGACCCGCCTAGATCGGTGACGCGAACGCCAGTCCAGTCCTCCAAATTTTCTCATAGGCTGAGAAGTCCCGGAGCTGTAGAGGACACGTGCGGGCGATCTCACGCGGCAACTTGTTTACCTAGAAGCTGGGGATTTTCCTTGACGACACGCTAACCCAGGACGGCCGAGTCTGCGCAGGCGCAGATGTGAGCAGTGGTGGCTTTGGTGGGGGCGCTTTCTGAGCCGTTAGGCGCGTGACAAGAGCGCCCCCGCGCTGGGACTGTGGACCTGGGTTCCTGAAGCTCCCTGAAGCTGGAAGCTGCTGGCATTACGGTGAAGCGATCTTCAGGTCTCAGTGCCGCGTGGTAACGATGAAGATGATAGCCACCTCCCAGATTATATTTTCTGTGGGCCAGGCCATGCGCTTACAAACCCGGAGGAGGCGGCTGATCTACTTCCCACTGTCTCAAATGAGACTGAGATCCAGAGAGGTTACATAATGTATCCGGATTAACACGCTAGTCTCTGGTGGGGTCAAGATTTGAACTCAGGTCCCTGATACGATAAAGGTGGGCCCTAAGGCCTGCGGGAACCCTAAACATGTGAAGGACTCAGTAGATGAAGCACAAAAAGGCCCTGAGCACTGTCTTGAAAATAGTAAGCCCTCAACAAGTGATGAACATTATAATGACTGTATACATAATGATAAGAATCACCGGGGTCCCTTACAACTGCGGAATCAATCTCCGGGGAAGGGGCCTGAAAATCTATTTTTAAAAGCATTCCCGGTAGTTCTTAGGAGCCTAGAAGTTTGGGAAACACTATTAGGTTTCCTAGGCTGCTGAATCCTCATGCTGCAGCACAGAAAAGTGGGCCCTCCAGAACTCACCTAGCACTCACCACCCACTGTTAGAAGTGCCTGTGGGCAGGGATGCTAGGGTGCCACGTCAAGGGCGTTATGGAGCTGGAGGTTAAAGGAGTTCAGTATGGGGTCTAGAGCCACCAGTCGGGCAACAGAGTGCAGGGGCAGCAGGCCATCTACAGCCAGCTCCACACCGCACTCAGCTGGATCTCCCTGAGCTGTTTTGTTCAATAAGTATTTACTAACGCCTTCTGGATGTAGCACTGTGCTAGGCACAATGAGGGAGAGACGTTTCACAGTTGTCCATCTACTTCACGCCTAGGAGTACATGACCACGGGAGAGACTGCAGAGCATTTGAGACTTAAATCAAGGAGTAGAAAGGGATCCAATAAACAGCAAGAGCATGCCCGCAGGGAAGTGGGGGGGGGGGGAGCTGGGAAGCCCAGACCTCAGGGTTCACGGGACCGAGAGACAGTGGGATCATGAACATTTCCCATTATCAACTCCTGGTGCCCCCTCGTGGCCACTTGGTGAATCACACTTTGCCTTTGCCCTGCCCAAGGTCAGGCCCCCTGGCAAAGCTGTCCCTTCCAGATGTATCTTCTCAACCTTCCTGTTACACCTGCAGATCCAATACGCTTCCCACTGGTTAAGAAAAGATCTTAAAACACCACCTGGTTACTCATTACACATTTATTGTACATTTTCACAATCTGGATGCGCCACAGAATTGGGGGCATGGGGTGAGGGAAGGGGGGCAGGGGATACTGGGATAATATGGGGGGTCTAGAACACAGCACCCTCACCCCCAGCATCTCTCCCTACCCTTTCACACCACAGCTTCGATCTCCCTGCTCCCCCTCCACACAGGAACCTCGACTGTGGGGGGAAGAAAGAGTTTAGGGGGTGCCCTCCAGTGGCAGGTTAAGGGACTGCACCCTCAGACCCCTAAAATTGTGCCATTTAAAAAGACATTAGACCCTTCCTTCATCATTTCACCTAAGGAGGAGACCCGGAGAGGGGCAAGAATCCCCGTCTTGCAGCGCGTCCCATGCACACATTGGCAGTGACCAGTACTCCCAGCCTGAGTTCAAGGGGGCAGTCAGAGGAGCTGGGCAGTGACGGGGCAACACCCCCCAATGAGGGAGGAGGGATTTCAGTTCAGCCCCCAGCAGGGGTGGGGCCAGAGATTTCAGGAAGGAACTGGAGGGATTCTTTGCCCTGCCCCATCCTCCCCAAGGCAGTGATGACCCCCCCGACACACTGGCAGCCACCTCTCCCAAGAGAGATCAGATTGTGGCCAACCCCCAACTCTCCTGGTGGGAGGAGGAGGAGGCAGATCAGGCAGATGGGAGGGAGGGAGACCCCATGGGAATGTCAACTGAGCACCCCACACGGAAACTGGGGAGCAGGAATGTGGGGAGAGACTCCAAGTGGCAGAATTATTGGTCCATCATAACACACTGAACTCCAAGACACTTACACACCAGCTGGGGGGAGGGAAAGGAGGGACAAGAGGTTTGGAAAATCGGGGTAGGGGAGGCAAACTGGACTAGGGGGGCTAGGAGGAGGCAAACCTGGGGGCCAGAAGAGCCTGGCTCCCCAAAAGCCCAGGCTCCCCACCACCTGCAAGTAACGTCATGCAAATGAAAGTGTGATACAAGGACCAACAGGGACTAACTCCTCAGTAAAAAAGAAACACAGGTTGAAAGACTGAACAGAAGAGAAAATGGGGGGGAGAAGGAAACCAAAAGGGATGTCAGTAGGCAAATGGATGCTAATTAACATGCTGGAAGCTCCCAAAAGACCTTGGGATTCTCAGGACCATAAGGGACCAGTCTCGGAGCCTCCCAAAGATGCAAAGAAGATGCACCTAGGGAGGCCTGGACAGTTGCTTTTTATAATTTTTGCAGGGGGTGGAGGTATGGGGAAGTCCAGGGCGGGAGGAAGGATCAGCTAAATCCAAGGGAAGGAGGAAGAGGGGACTGCATAACAGATGCAAATGAAGGGGACTTGGGGCTGGTCAGGAAGAAAGGGAAGGAGGGAAAGAGAAAAAGGAGGTGATGAGAACCTCAGGAAGGGGTGTTAAGGACAACCGGAAAAAATCTTCTAGTAATAAAACTACAAACAGACCAAATATATATAATATTATATATGTATAAATAACAGCTGGCTATTTACAAGGGGGCACACACACGACACACACACACACGGATCCAGGGAGGTGGGCTGGAAGATATGGCTGAGAGGTGGAGGAGCAGCTGGGGGTGGGGGGGAGAGGCCCTTCTCTGGGCAGGGCAGGCTCCTCAGGGGTTTAAGAGCTGAAGTAAACTGTGGAGAGGGAAAGAGAAGGAAGAAGAGGGAGAAGGGAGAAAGAGAGAGAGAAAGCAGTGTGTCAGCCCGGCCCTGCTCCCATCTTCCCCACCTCCCAGCCGGTTGACATCCCTTCCCCTCTTGGCCTCAGGTTCTCCATCTGTAACACAAAGAGGCTGGACAGGTCGGTTCCAAGGTCTCTTCAACTCCACGGTATGGCCTTGGGGCCACAGACCCCTAATTCTCTGGGCCTCTGAGACCACAGCTCTCAGACAGTGGGGTGGTTGGCTTCCTAGCTGTTTCTCAAGCCCCTGGGTCTTTGCTGCTCTCCCACTCCCCAATTCCAGGGTTCCCAGACTGGGCTCCTAGGCCCAAAGGGTCCTCAAGGGAGCAGTGGGGATCCACCAGCTTTCCTGTTTCCAAAAATCTTAAGAGAAATTGCCCAGATTCAGGCAAAGAGCAAGCTAAACAGCTTCAAGGTTTGGGGCTGTGTATGAATCAGAACTTCTATTGGCAGCTATATGTGCTTTCTGCTGAATAGTAAAAACTAGGTTAATGACCTTCAAAACCCAGAAATGACAAGGGAAACCTCTTCAGGAAGGGGCCCTAGCCACTCCCACCTACTCACCGATGATGATGATGAGGATGATGGCGCAAATCACTCCCAAGATAATCATCATCTGGGGGCGAGAGGGGAGGGTCAGTGAGACAGACCATGATACTCCCATCCACCCCCCACTCCTCCTACCTGCCCTCCCGCCTGCCTCCACCCTTACCTTGAGGTTTTTCCACCAGTATTTGCGCTTGAGCTTGGCTGCACTTGTTTCAAACTGGGAGGCCCCTGCTTGGAGTGCGTCTGCACGGTCGTCCAGCTCCGACAGCTTCTGGTCCCGCTCCAGGACCTTGTCCACGTTCACCCTCATGATGTCCACCACCTGGGGGAAGGCCCGCAAAGCAGGGGGAGTGTGCCAAGGCCCATCGCAAAGGGCACTCCTCCACCATGAGCCCACATATAGAACACGCACCCTGATGCTGCCTGGCTAACATGACAAGAACATACACAGAACATGCCTAGCATAGCCGCAGATGCGCCAAGGCATGCTGGTAGGCAGACATCTCAGATATCACAGCAGCACCCTCTATTTACCGAGCCTCAAGCAGCCTGCCGATCCCCAGAGCACACCCGCCCAGGGTGAAACACCCCAGGCTAGCAAGGCTGACTGACACCTCACGGCCCTCCCAACTGCATGCTGACAAGGACCGGGCATGACATATTTTTGTCCCCAAACTCACCGACATGAAGTGCCGTCACCCCCAACCCCAGATGGGCCCGCACACCTGTTTCCCAACCCTCAGGGTCCTTCCCACTGGCCTGACACCCGCCCCCCACAACTCACCTCATCCACCTGGGCCTGGGTCTGCTGCAGTCTCCTGTTACTGGTGAGGTTTGGAGGGGGCGCAGGGGGGCCTCCCTCCCCAGCCGGGGCGGCAGGGGGGGCGGTGGCAGCCGTGGCCGACCTGAAGGGCAGGGACGGATCAAGACCCAAGGCCTGGAGCCCTTGGCTCCGCAGCCAGGGCCCCGCCCATCCGCCTGT